TAGTAAAGTCTGTGAGTTCATTCATCCGAGATTAGGACTCATAGACCTTGATAGATCATGATCTCCTTAAGCCATGAAGCATCTACTCTTTTTCCTTTGTGTGGTTTTGTCCCATTGGGTTTTTCTATGCAAAAGGTTTTAACGAGGGATGTTTTCATGGTTCCAAGCTTTACCATTAGGCATGGCAAAGCTTGAGGGGAAGTATTAAATTAAATAAATAAATTAGTTATTTATTTTAGCTTCTCTAGTAAGCCAAGTGTGTTTGGTTACTAGAATAAGAATACTCTATCTCTTTATAACTCTTGGTAACGTTATTTTTTAGATCTAAGGAAAAAGTTTCTCCTTCTTTACTCTTTTCTCTCATCTCTCTCTTGTTCTTCAATCTCAAAGCCTCACTTTCTTACAATTAGCTTCTCTCTATCTACAATACTAAATATTAAAAACTTATAAAATTTGCTAATTATACAAGATTGCTATATACAAATGGATTATATTATAAAGAAGAATGTTCATTGCTTGTTTAAATTTGTATTGCTAATTTGCTGGATCTAAATCAGAAACAAAACATATGATCTGAATATAAATTATGTAAAATTTTATTTATCAATAAATAATGTGGGGGGAGAGATGGAGACGTTGTCGAAATTCCATAAGATGTTAGAGATGCCGAAAGACGTTTGCCTAAATAAATCCAAGGCATAATCCTGATTAGCCTCTCTTTTTATGCATTTACTAAACTAAACATCGCATGTGCATTTCTATGTCTTCATCTTTCACATATAAAATACTAACGAAACTTAAATCTGATTAGTTCGACACAAAGATATAAACTTATCTATGATGCAAATGAATTAAACTTGATTCCGAGTAGGCTTTAATAAAGCACATTATCATAGTATTAACCGAACTTATGTTTTTGTGTTTTACGCGTCATCTCATAACTTTTTCTCCTTATAAATACTTTATTTGAGAAAACTAAGTGGAGAATGACAAATAAAAATAGCTACACGTCAGAACTACATTTACATGATTTTAAGAAATATTGTGGAGACCAAACTTTTATCAGGTTCATCCCTTCTGCTGGTGGCTAATCACTGTCTATTACATAAAAAAAAAAACAATTTTATACGTACTTAATTGATATGAAAAGAGGTTACAACCCTGAATGAGAAAGAAAACTGAGAAGAGAGAATTGTTCCATAGATCCGTAAGAGCATATTTATTGTAAGTCTCTTAATTTGAATCTCTTAACAGGTCCCTTAAGTTGAATCTCTTAGCGTTCGGTCTCTTACCTTTTAATTAAAAACGCTAAGGGACGTCTCTTAAATTTCTTATCTAAAAGACGTCCCTTAACGTTTTCAGTTAAAAACTAAAAGACCGTACGATAAGATACCTAACTTAAGGGACCTACAATAAACATCGTCTAACTCCCCCCCCCAAAAAATAAACCTTCAAAGCAAACAGAGAGCGTATTTTTGATCGAGTCCACAAGAATCATTATACGGTTAACTACTCTTACTGGATTGGTCCGCATCTAATCAGAAAACGCCATGTCATATTCTAACACTGACGTGTCATCGGCTAAAACGCTAATTACACCGTTAATAAACTTTGCTCCGCATCATCACAATACAGCGCCTCATAGACGATTCCACTTAAGTAATAACTTAACTAATTTTGGTTAATTAATAAATTAATATTTTCTTTTATGACCATTTGGTTAATTATTATTTCAACGTTTTTGCTGTCAATTATATATTTGTACACAACTTTTACTAATCAAAACGAATTAAAGAATTCCGTACATTGAATTTTCTCCTAATTACGATATGGAGATGATTAATTAAGGATTGATATGGATATTGTTGCAGCTTCAACAAATGACATTACACCTATAATTATTTGATAGGATCTTTTGTCATAGTAAAAACAAATTAAGCGATCAGCCAATTAATTGTTTGATCTCTAAAATATTTATTGTTTGATCTCAAGTAGTATTTTTATTTGTTCATAGCGTACGTGCATATTCATGCATGGATGGCAGAAAGAGACAATCCTATGCCGATTCGTAGCATACGATACGATCACCTCTCTTGTAATATATCTATGAAGACAAACTAAACTATATAATTGTGTTCGATTCATGATACATAACCAATATTAATAGAACCTGCAAAAGCATTAATGAAGATTTGCTTAAGCATATGAAATTAAATGAGAAGATCTTTAAACCTGGACAAGTGGGTGAAAATGTAACGTCGCATGAGGGAGAGGGGGGGATGCATGCATCCTTGCTTCCATAACATGCATTTGGACCCACTTTTACTTACTTGAATTTGTAATTAATATTCTAATTTTTAAATTATTATTTATAAATATTTTGGTTTTAAAAAAGCCTAAACCATCGCTTCCAGTTTTATTATTTCAATATAATTTATATACATATATGAATGAATATTCGACTAAATTAATATGATAAGTGCATATATTACAAGGTTTATCATGCCACATGCGGAAAATGTGATATGTAGGAGTGATAGGAACTCGAGGTGTGGACATTGGATTATTGATGAGCGATTTATATATGTTTTCGAATTCAACAATTTCTTTAAGGTGCACAAAAGTCTTATTGTAACTCGTTACAATGTCTGCAATGCAGTAAAGATTTAAGTATGGTTGCAACATACTAAATATGTAACAATAGTTCATACAGAAGATACTGTATTTTTTATATATATTAGACACCATATTGAATTTTAAGGAAAACTGAATAAATGAATACTTTATATTAAACTGACAGTAACAATGATCCAAGCATCTGAGCACATGAAAATGTGTGATGTATATATGGATAAAAATAGAGATTATTAATTAAATTTACACATTATTCCCAAGTACAATACATGAAAACTGTTTTTGGCTGCTTGTTACTTAGAAAAATATAAATAAATAATTGTAGATGAAACATTCGCGCACATGGGGGCATGGACACATATATGAACTACAAGATAAGTGATGTTTTGGTGTAGTACGCCGTATTACATTATTGTCCATTTCGTATGCCAAATAGTACTATATTAATTTGCTCATTAAACAAAAGAGCATCTTCAGTTAATCGTAACTGCGTCTGGTAATAGAACCATTTATATAGTTTGTTTTTGTTTAGATTATAGTATTAAGATTTAAATTTACATTCTTTAAAATACATTTTCCTATACCTTTTTTCCAGCTACCCATGTGGTGGTTTTATTTATATTGTTTAGCAGAAATTCTCCCACTTTCCGTGCGCCGAAATTTAACTTATTAGTTTTAATAATATATATGTATTTCGTGTTATGATAATTTAAAAAACTTTACTTTAATATATATTATTTTCTAGTTGATAATATACATATGAAGGTTTTGACCCTTCAAGCGGCCGCTGTGGCTGATGCTCCCTTTTCCACAAGCGTGCACGAACTATCGCGAAGTAGGCAACAAATTATATATCGTATACATAATTTTTTTTGTAGCACATTAATCTTAGAATTTTATCTAAATAAATTATTTCAGATTTTGCTCGGTTGATGCATGTTCACTCATGTTAGTTTGATTTATCAGATTTCATCTCATTAATTTTGAAGACCCCCTAACTGTTAAGATGAGCCACGATGCATATTCCTTGTTAGCTTGATTTATCAGATTTCGTCTCATATCATGTTCCGAGATTTGACTCATACAGTCGCGGTAATTGAAATATTAATTATAATTCATACAGTCTCACTGATAAATAAATTACAGTCAATTAAAATGTATAGTTTCAGCAATATTAAAATGATATGATCATATTTTGCATTATTTTCTTCGGTGAACTTTTTTAGTATAAAAAGAAATCAGATAGACAACACGAGAGAACAAATTAATTAGCCGAATTTGCATGTTCACTTATGTTAAATATGAACCAGTAAGCTATGTGTGAAACTACCAAGTACCTTGATAGGAGATCAAAACATCGAATCTCATCAGCCCATTTGCTTTTAACGTTTGAACACTTTGATTATAACTAAATAGAACATGCATGAACATAAAGAAATGAATTGACTCTAATATGTCCCTAGTCAAATCCAAGGCGATGTCTGAACTCTTTCCAAAGACTGGTCGTCTTATCCAACACTACCACATGCACTTACTTCCCTACCATTTATTTTCTTTTAAAGTGACACTTATTTATTCAATTAATAGAATTCAATACCTTATCATCGCTAAATTCATTAGCATAATTATTAAGACCATGAATAATCAATGGATAGTTTTCGCATGTCGAATCTATCACCTACGAATGCTTCGTGCACCATCCAATGTATGGAGAAGAAAAAAACAGACTAAAATCTTTGATTCTCTCTTCTAAACAAATTATTTTAAACTTAATCTCCCCAATCATCTGATCAGCAAAATTGTTTTTTCCGAATCTTAATCCATCACACTAATATAACTCATCCATAAAAATTAATTAAGCAAACATAAGAATATCTCTAAGCCTATTCCACTTTTCATCTCAACAATTATCTTAAAATGTTTTAGCTCTATTTAAAAAAAAAAATAACTGGAGGAAAATATAATTATTCCAAAGTCGAGCACATTAAATAATTTTTAGATTAATTTCTCTAACTTTCTATTAAAATAAATTTCGAGTATATTTTTACATTACTCAATTTTTAAAATGGAATAATATATTACAAAAAATTCTTAGGACCATAGAGGCAACATCGTAAATATATCAAACGACCAGTGGCATTGTGTTACTTCCTTTACTATATAAACTTCCTCCCTCGCAAACTCTCAAAACCCCTCTGACATTTTCTCTCTTTATTCACTTACTTAACCGGAAACTTTTACTTAACCGGAAAAATGGCTGGAGGTCACGGGAAATGCAGCAAGATCCGTCACATTGTGAGGCTGAGACAGATGCTTCGAAGGTGGCGTGACCAAGCGCGGATGTCTTCTTTCAGCCGCAGTGTACCGTCGGATGTACCGTCAGGACACGTGGCGGTCTACGTGGGGAGCAGCTGCAGGAGATTTGTGGTGCGCGCGACGTATCTGAACCATCCTGTCTTATGGAATCTTTTGGTTCAGGCTGAGGAAGAGTTCGGTTTCGTTAACCAAGGTGCTTTGGTTTTCCCTTGTGAAGAATCGGTTTTCGAGGAATCGATTCGGTTTATTTCCCGGTCAAGAGGGTTTACTTGTCCTGATGATGTCAAGAAGAACTGCCACGTGGGAATTAGAAGCGAGAGATGGATTGAATCACGGCCGTTACTTAACGGCGTCTCTGAGAAAGCATTATGGTGATCATTTTTTACTGCGACGTACAGAGTAAATAGATAATAAAAAAAAAGAGCCGAGTGTACTCGATGTGGTAACAGACAATGTACTGAAAGCAGCTTGACTCCGTATTGGTGAGCTGAGCTGAGTTAGCCGTGGTGATGAGTCATTCTACGGAGTTGTTCCCGTGTCTGAGAACGAGTTCAAGGAAGTATTAGGAAATATATAATCAGGGGAAATGTGATTTTTATTGGTCTTGGCTCTATCTCTTCCCAGTTCAATTAAATTGTATAGATTGTTTTTAATTATTGGAGAAATTTGATTACTGATTCTAAATATTTATGTGTAAAATTCCAGCGCTTTCATGCTAAATGAAGTTTAGCAAAAAAAAAAAAATGCTAACGAACATTTAATATAAGTTTTATTTAGAGATGGAGATAAAACTATAAAACAAACGACTGTATATGAATCATGTCAATTTGTTAAGTTAATTGTGAATTATCTAATGAGCTGTATGAAATTAAATATAACTAGGATATTACAGAAATATTAATATAATTAGGTTATTTTAAACCGATTAGGAATTTACGTCTTTGTAATTTCAAAATATTATTTCAGGTAGAAGTTTAACTTAACAAATTGACATGATATTTTTACTGTAAACACGTTTTAAGGGGTTTGTGATTATTTCACACACTTTATATGATTATATCTAATGTATTACAAATACTAGTTGCATACTCCCCGCGCAAGCGCGGGGCCGGGATCATTATGTTTGCGTATATTTTTTTCGATTGTTAGTTTAGTGGATTCTTTAAATGACACCAAATAATAATGAAATAAAAAGAATATAGTAAGAGTGTAAAGTAAAAATATTGTATATCTAATGTGTTAAATGTTATTTATATGCGAAATAAGGTTTATAGGAATAGTTAGGCTATAATATAGTTTTTAGTGTGTAAAAGTAGGTGTCTATTTTTTTTTTCCTGTAAATAGTTTTTATTTCGTATGTCAAAAACTTGATATAATTCTATATTTATATTTGTATTAAACGATTTATCAATTTGAAAATAACCTTACTTAAGTTAACATTCGTTATTTAAGTTTCATTAGATAGGTTTTTATATATGGTTTTTTGTAAGTTTGAGTTTTGTTCATAAATGATGTGGCATTTTTATCTACGGCGTCATCGACTGTGAGAATCCATTCGCCGGAGTCTGGAATCAGTGGTGAGGAATGTTTTCAATGAAATTATAGTGGTTATTAAAATGTAAGAGAAATTACATATTCATTTAATAAATAACGAAAATAATTAATTTTTGTTGGTTTTTTATTTTATCTCACATAAATTTTTTTGAAAATATATATTAGGAAATATGTGCAATGATTTAACTTTTTGAGCTCTTAATCTATATTATTCAAGCCTCATTAAACCATTTACGTAGGTAGCCGCGTGGGATTCACTTTTTTTTTTGTTTTTTGGCCTGTTCGTTTTTGGATTCATTTTTTATTATTTTTGGGTTGAACTATATTATAATAGGATAGTTTTAAGGCTTTTTAAGCCATCCGCGTGTGTTTTTTTTTTTTTTTGCATCCCTTTTTAACTATTTTTTTTTTGTTTGAACTTGTTAAACTTTAGGGTTTATCCAACTATTTTTATATTTAAAACAGTAAGCCAAAACAAAACATATAAAACCTTATAAACAAAAAGCCTATATGATAATAACCCATATAAAAAATCAAAATAAATGATGGCTGCGTAGTTTGAACCCATGATCTTGCATGCTTAATTAGACACCTTATACTACTTGGATAAAGTGTATTTCATTGTTTGTAATCATCTTACCAAGACTATGGGTTTTTAAAAAGTATCTACGGGACCCACAAAACTGCTGACATGGCGCATTGTGGAGCCTAGAAAGTCTACTATTATTATATAGATTTTCGAAATTAAAACACTATTTACTATTCACCTATACTACAATTCAACTAAAAATGATTAACTTCTTTAACTTATTCGAAGTTAAAGTAGTTTTTAACTGGACCATAGTTTTGGCAAAAAATAAGGGAAAAAAAATCCGACCAGGTCATGTGAAGGATAAGACTATCAGTAATAAGCCTCTTTCGCTCTGTTTTCACTCGCATCAAACTTTTTTCGCACGTTCTTCGAACAGTGAAAAGTACAGTCTAAGGTACATAATGTTTGTTAGATTGGTATTTTTCTTTATTTAGCCGTAATCTACTTTAGAATGTTCAGACGGCCTAGATTTGTGCTAATAAGATAGTTTAGATTTTGGTCTGATTCATTTCCTTCACGCGCTTTGCTTAAATGGAAGAAAACATGGCTAGGTTTATCAAACAATGACCAAAAAGATCTATTTATAATCGTCTAAGTAAAGTTGCTTGTTTTGAACTTTGAAGACATAAGAACGATCAGATGGTTGAATTTAAATTTAACGGTAGTGAAAATATATTATAGGCTTGTAGCCAAAATGAAAAGGAATCTAGCATTTCAAGAGAGTTACACACTAGCATCAACCTATATAGTAACAATCACCTATAAAAGCATAAATAAAATACCTATGACATGATCCTTATTTCTCTTGCATCCACAAATATAGGACATTTATAACACGTCATGTACTTTATTTATACCCACATAAAACTTCACATTACATATGATGAATACATAAAGGACCCATATATGCGACGCATGTTATTCTAGGAATAGTGTGAAGCTTGAATTTTAGTGTGAACCGAAAGTCGAGTTGGGAAGAAAGAGAAATGACGCCATGCACGTGGATCTACCACAATTGTTATCAATGGTGAATACTGTGTTAGAAAAGACTATGTTTAAAGCCCCTTTTAATATGGTACGAGCGAAAGCGAATCTTGGTCTAAATCTGATCAACGTGATGGATATAGTCTTCTCAAATGGTTATAACAATGTCGGGTAAAGATAGTTGCAGCCAGGAAGGAGATCATTAACGGGGAAGATAGTCCTTTTGGTACAACAATTATTTAGAATTGAAATGATGAGAGTCGTGAAACCTAGGAGAAGATGAGAGATTCTTTCTAAAGGACAACGAAGTGAGGCCCAATGGGGTTGAAGACTTGACCTTACATCTTTAACCTTGTTCTTCTAATGATTATACGATCAGCTATACCCCTGGATTGATAGATTTATTGGTTAAACGACTAACTCTAAGTTTTGAATTCAGTATGAGGAAATAAGAAGCCATCATGTTATTGTTTTTAAGTATCTAAAAATCAGTTTATACGTCCACTTAATGTTTTTCCTTCGGAATTTTATGTGACTAATAGCAAAAGAAAACATGTTTCTGAAACCAGCTCAAAATGTGAATAAAGTCATTCGCAAATAATTTCTCCTTCACTCGTTTTAGTGACATACCTTTGCCAAATCTTTTTGAGGCCAGGAAATTCGCTTGGAAAAGGAGAGTAAGGTAGCTAAGTGATGACACTTGTCGAATTTATTTCATTAATCATTACATTTGGAATTATTTTGAGGCATATCAGCTATAACGACAATCTGAGGTAAATTGATAATGATGAAATGTTGTTACCGTTTTTCCGTTTTTTTTCCGTTTCATTATCTTGGTGACTTGTTAAAACGGATCTTTGCATCAGTGACTACGTTTAGTCGTTAAATACATCAACACTAATATAAGCTTGTTTACGGTCACTGAAGTTTAGCTGGAACTGATTTATAGTTGAGATAGATCATGGGTGGTATTTGAAAGGATCTTGATAGGCAAATCTTGATAAGATTTAGCCTTTAGTAAATGACAAGCTCATCTCATGTAGAAACATAAATATTTAAATTTTTGTGGGATGTTTTCGAAGGTGTAAATCCGTAGTTATAGACGAGGTTCGGGATTTGTAAAACAAATTTAGTTACCTAATTTAGCAAAATTTTACAAATCCAAACACATTCACATTGTGTAAAACCGGACTTCTAGACGTTTAGGTAAATTAATGAAAAAGAGTGTTTCTTGAAACAATACCGGTTTCTATTTTTATATAAAAAGCTTTATAATAACCAAAAAAAGAATTGATCTAGCGGTTTTTTTCTGCATGCTCTGGTAATTTGGAGAGTGGAACGTTATAGCCCAAGTCCATTTAGGAAAGATCCAACGACTCGAAATCAACCAGTCATTAAGATTGACTAAAGAAGAAATAACCAGTTCGGTATGATCGAGGTTCGAGTTCCTCTTATTTTCTTAGCGAGATCGATGGTGGTTTATATGCCCATTCTGATGCATGAATCATCATCATGCAACAACCCATACTCGTGTACAGAACTTTAAACAGAAGTATAAATTAGCCAAATAGGAATCCATTAATTAATATTTAAAATTATTCATGTGGAAGTTCTATTTAAATAACTAGTAGGTGTTTTTTTTTTTTTTGCTTTAACTTTAACTAATTGTCACCTAACCATTTATCTAGTTTTCCATAAAGTGAATTAGTTATATTGTCACATTCAATCAGGTTTATAGTCAATGCAATTGTACTTAACATTCCATCAAATTTGTATAATAACAATTCGAAATGTGAGTCGTCGTAATCAGGTAATGATATGCTATACTTAGTGGAGCTGTAGCACTTTCGGACTTGGTGGGATTATGATCTTTTTACCGACCATTTTACATGCATTTAAATTTATTTATTTTGTTCATAGAGACAATCTCCAAGAATAAATTTGCCGACCAAAAGAAAACAGAGAATAATTATAGCAAATTAATTGAATTAAAATAGACGAAATTATATCTTTAAACATTAATCCCCATTAATTTACAACAAAAAACCCCGTTAAACCTTTTATCAAACAAAATTAATGGGTACGGTGATAAATGGACCTATGAAAGCGTAATATTATGAGCCTATGGCATACCAATTCACAAGCAGTTTACTGTTTACACATACTATTGCATGTGTATATGAACAAACGTGGAAAATTACAAATTTGAAACTGTCTTTTGTAAATAACCGAAAATGCTTAAAAGAATACACTACACACCATTTTTAAGAGGAAGCAAAAGAAATACGGCATTATCATTTTTGATATAAAAATTTTAAGTTAATTATGAAAAATCGTTCATTCGGTAAACTCGAATCTCCCGATAAGTACCGTACGGAGTAGGGAGAATGGTGTGGTTACGTCAAAACATTATCTAAAGGAGTGCATTAGGCGATACGGTGAATCTTATCGTGATCACGAAGCCCATGATCAGACAAGTTTATCGTTATAATCATAGCCGTCCAAATAATTGAAGTAGGTCCACCACCTAACCACGCTGTGTTCTAGAGGATTATAAACCCGTCAGAATCTTGTGTAGGGACTTTAACGATACGAGAATTCTTTAAGCTTTTGGTCCCATTCGCATGTGCTTATCCCTCTGACGTTGATCTTGACATCTCCAAGTTTTCTTTTCTGTTTTCAAGACTATCTTTCAAACACTCCTTTTTTTATTATCTCTGCACAAAAGGGTCGAATGTTATATCTCAAGCTAAACATAAAACTCTGAAACATCCTATGCATTTAGTATATTGATTTACTTATTATATGTTTTCAAGTAAAGTCTGTCCGGTTTTATATAGAAGCAAAAGTAAAATGCCATACTGCAATAATATCGAAATTAATTTAGCGGTTGAACATCAACATCTAAGGTTAGCACATTAGAAGTTATGGGTTATTGCTTTAAATTCTTTGGTACATAAAAGAAGACTGAAAGTTAATAATTCCTGAAATGTAGCAGTTCAGACTTTTCATCCAACCTAGCTAACACAAAACGTTAAACTAATAGTATATGATTTCAAACAAGTATGGGTTGCTTTCAAATTTATTTTAATATCATATAATAATATAGCTATGTTTCCCTAGCTTCTAGTCTCATAAATTAATACAAACAGTAAACGCTTTTTCTGAATCTCAACATAGCAGAGCCCTGAACTTCGTTATAAACGGTAACATTCTGCAACTACCATCCCATCTATAAACTTTATATAGTATCTGTTAGCTAGTTCAACAGTTTTAACGGCTAAAAACCGCCGGCTAAGAAAGAGACACCATAGTCTCTCTTTTTTAACCTACATAGAGAACAAGAAACTTTGGGAGTCTTATACAAATTAAATGTCACACATTGCACAATAATTTATTAACTCATGCAAAAGAAAAACCAAACCAAAGAAAACTGAAGCATAGCTGATAATATTAAACGTCTCATTCATCAAATATCAAATTATCTCTCATAGGGGGTACACATTCAACAACCACACCACCATGAGAGTGATCTTCACGAGCATCTCTTTCCCTAAGGGTTAAGTCTCACTCTAATACAACACTAAACCCATATTAGCCAAAACATGTAAAAATAGTTTGCTAAAACAGAGAAGCATTTACTCAGCAGCTTCCACTGTTCTCATCCTAATAAAACCATCTCAAATATATAACTAAAAAAAAAAAAAAAAAACCCTAAAAAGATATGTTCATCCGAGCATGGAGGTGAGAGATCTGAAAACGGCTTCATCACAAGGGATAGTGAGACCCATGTCGTGGTCAAAACCAAACTCTTCCTCTGCTTGTTGAAGAAGAAGCTGAAACTCGGGTCGGGTCAAAAACGAAATGGGCACAACGTACCTGACCCGATTCTCTCCAACGTAGACAACGAAATGTCCTTTAGGCACGTCAAGAGGATGTCCGTTCTCGTCTTCGCTGTATACATTACTCTGTTTCTTCCCCAAGCTTGAGCATCTCTTCAAGATTTGCTTGATCATCGCCGTTTGTGTCAGTTTGTTTGCTTTTTTCATCGCCATTCTTCTTTTATGGGAGCAAGATCTTTACTTTTTTTTGTTGTTGTTCACAATGAAGGGAGAGTGTGAAAAGATTGAGAGGAGGTTTCATAGAATTGTGGTTAGGGGTATTTATTGAGGACTATGGTGAGTGGGATCTTTTTTTAATAAAGAAAATATGAATATACGGAGTTAAAAACGTATATAAATGACTTTATGCACACCCACATGTGTGTATGATATATATAATATAGAGAGAGGGAGATGATGATATTGAGGAGTTGAGGAGATTATGATGTGTTTGTTGTCTGGATATGAATTTGCGTGTTTGCTACGGGTAACCACTTGTTGTGCATTAATATGACACAAATAATTTAACTTGTTGTAGAAATTGATAGAATGTCGAGACTCGAAAACTACAGCTTGGGTCATCATCTGGTTTGGCTCCAAAATATTTTATTATCAAACAAAAAAACAAACCATGGCGTAATTTAAATTAAATCCATTTTCACTAGTTCAAGAAACGTGAAAGGTATATATTTCTAAAGCATGTGAAGATGTGGGGTCCAAAGTGAGACGAGTATGTGTGGGATTTGGTAAACGGACGGTCTGATATTGCTCTTCCTTTAACTTTTTCATTATTGGAATATATTTGAATATATGACTATCTTTTGGTTCATGCATGCTGCTCACTGATTTTGTTAATTAATTAGGGTTTCGTTCTCATCCTTCGAGGTTGATTAGCGTTTTATTCGAATATGTTGTATAGTTCTCTAATTTCGTATGTATTGCATGATACAATTTGTATCCTTTATTGTCTCCACTTTATGTGTAAATCTTGACACACTCTCCCATCTAGTTGTCTCAATTTCGTTACATCGAGCGTAGGGCTTTTATGATTTATCCAAGTTGTTAATGAATTATTCAATACTCCAAGGAGTATCACACACCGTGTTACTTCATGCACGTTGTCAAACAGTAAGATAGAAATTTCAATACTTCAAAACAAAAATCATCCTCTGCACCAGTGATTTCACTATTATTAGTGAACAACGAGTAGGCGGGTCGAGGTCCTACGAGGTACCCACTACTCGGAGTACCCTCCCAAAAGGAAAAAGATGTGTTTGTCAGGTTCGGTTCCATGAATGTTTCTAATTCAATATAATATATAACTTGTTGGGTTTTCTGAGGAAAATAAATATGTTTTGTTGATTTTTTTTGCAATTATCAAATGTTAAAAGGTCCTCTATCAGTTTTAATGAACTGATATTAAACTAGTCAACAACAATATCAGTTTTGATAATAGATGTTAAATTAGTATATTATTAAAATTATATTGTATAATTTTGTTGAAATTATTTAATTGATGGAGTACTATTGTAGTGAGATTTAATGGTCAAAAAGATGGTAGTTGGTCAAGATTATCACGACTCTCAGAAATTAAATTTGAAAATTGATCACACTTTTTCTGTATTATTACTCCAATGAGAAGAAAAGTACAGAAGAGTACCACGACCTTGGTTATTGAACCCGTGAATCTTGAGGAATAAAAGAAAAGACATGAAAGCTGAAACTTCACAAGGATAAAAGGGGAGCTGTTGTTGTACCCAATGCGCCACTAGTGGGTAATATGCAAAATATTTATATAGAGAACTAGTGAATATGATAATCCTGCAAGTGTTAACGTAACACGTATAACCGAACTTCGGTCCACTTGGAAAACAAAATACAGTGAATCTTTATATCATATTAAAATACATGCAAAAACAATAGAAAAGAAACAAAGAAGCAGAGGGAAGGGGTCGATGTTTCGGACCACAAACTGAAACCAAGAGAACTGTAGTAATCAAACGTGGACTCTCCAACTGTTTCAACTGACTCACATGCCTTCCTAATTACATCATACGCAGTAAGGGGAAGCAACTGAATAGAAGCAGTTGCTTCCGGTCCTCTTTATAATTAATGAACTTTTGGCCATTTATTTTGTAAAATCCTTTATTGTTCAGTTGGTAAATTACTCTGAAACATTTAGAGAGGTGTTGGGTTCAAATTTTTCGATCTTTTATTTATTTTGAGCTTCTGGCCTCAAATAGTTTAGGACCGGACCTGATCATACGCTTCCCTGCTTCTATAGTTTCTGAGTCAATAACTTTCTTTGTGTTTCAGGAATTATAAGTTTTGATTTAACAACTGTCCAAAAACTTTCTGGGGGTCATTACAATTTAAAACATATTTACATGATAATTTTTGATATATTTACCAATGTCTTAACTTCTTAGATCAGATAACTGAATGTTGACGTACATTGAAAATAATCTATTAACATATTCCTTATTTTCTTCTAATATATTACGTTCTGATTTTGTTTCGTGAGTTGGTATCGTACGTGGTTCACTTTAAAAAGTAAACAAATAATTTTCCGTTTAGAGCTAAAAGTTAGGAATTAAAGGAATTAAATCAGAGATGTATGCAACTTATATTAAAAATAAAAAATATTATATTGATAATTAAATACAGCTCCAAGTTGCAGTACTAGCCACTCCCTACCCCCAAAATTAAATTTACAAATTTACTTCCTGCGGCTATATAACTATCCCACAGCGGCTATTATTACTTACCCCTACCCGCGTCACATGGCTTATTCGTATTTTCTGGATCCATAATCACATACGGCTAGCTGTTAAAAATAATAGGAAGACGACTTTTCACTCGAGACCCAAAATAATAGGAAGACATTTCTAAGATCCAAAATGCATGGCCACACGCAGTTACGTACGAGAAATCTAGAAAACAGTATAACTTTGTTTGCATGTATAATTCATTTATTATAAATAATACAATGTAGAAAATCTTGGAAAAATAGTAAACGAGATACACAAACAGTGGAAGCCGTGACCGGTTTGTTGTTTGTACAAGTACAATAACAACGAGCCTGATCCATGAACAGTTACCAAAGCCGCAACGTGTGGCTGAGGAGCTTAAAAATAAGGACATGATCTAAGATTTATAAATAAGAAGATAAGGACTTAAAGGTGTCTGGTTCGTACATTGACAGTACTCGAGCCCGTTACGGCTTCTCGAATTTAATAGCTTCGATTAGTCTAACAAGTGCACATGCCAGCCGTATATTTTTCTTGAACTTTTATGGTGCGTAATTCGTCTTCATCGTGGAATCCATTTCACTGCATTTCTATTTACCGACATAAGATTATTATAGCCATAATAATATAAGATCGGATTAAAAATGTTTATTAGTCAATTCCAATTTTTGTAATTAAAACGACAGAAAGGAACTCACGAGCTTATAATTTAATTGTTGGGGGTAAATGGTAATTAATTATGTAACTATCTCTAAATGGTGAGACGATGCGAAATAAGATCTCTAACGATAAAAACAAAGAAAAACGATTATGACCAAACCGAGAATCTTTTCCTAGAATGAAACTAGACGCACATGTTCCATCAACGAGATTGGTCACATTAAAACTGACACTCTTACGATACTAATTTTGATGGGTCCTGCAACAGCGGAGTAGGTGTGGCATAAAGGACCATCATGTTTATTTTCAAACGAATTTACAAAACACAACTACTACTACCCTCAAATCAATTTTGGCCAATATTTTACTATATTTTTAAGAATATAGAATATTGGACACAGAGTACTAAAAACACTTTCTGTTCGAAACTAATGTTTTGCGAAGGAAATTTCAAGAAAGAGAAATAAAAACATAAGTTTTCGAAAATCTATTCTAAAACAAGTAACGAAAAATTTCCTTAGCTAATAGTTTATATTATTATAATATATACATGAACTATCTAACCGCCTGAAACTACTATATGCATTTAACTCTTTCGTTTTTCAGAAAAACCACACGAGCTACATTTTGTATTCGCGCAGAGAGAAACAGAGACTAACGACCTTTTTGTTTATTGTCTACACTGTAGCCATTTGGTTTGATATTAGGCAGAACTTAAAAGGTGAAATGTGATTTATACGAACACGAATGACATCTCACAAATCCGTTGTAGTCTAGCTGGTTAGGATACTCGGCTCTCACCCGAGAGACCCGGGTTCGAGTCCCGGCAACGGAGTTTTTTTTCTACAAAATGTGTCTACGACGGGCCTCAACTACATTATCAAGCAGAGTTGTATATTTTGCCCATTTTTGAAATTGAGAATAAAGATATAACTCGGCCCACTTAAAAAGCCCAGCCCAAAAAAACTCCATGGAAGAGATAAATAGATAGAATAGCCGTGGGGGAGAGAAGAGAAAGCTGTGAGATTCGATTCTTCTCAACCCAGATTTCGAGCTCAGGTTCGTTATAGATGCTCTCCTTCTTCAATTATTCAATTGTTTTTTTTTGTTTTTATGTAGAGATCTGTAATTCGAATTGTCATGTTTGTGTTCATATACGTCGCTGTTCACGGGATTGATTGATTTGCTTAGGGTTAGATTCATAATCTTTGGCTGGAGTAATTGTTTGTTAGGTTGTTAGATCTGATTGTGTATTGCGATTTGGATGATACATTGAAGTTTGTCTGTGTATTCTATCAAAAAAAAGCTTTAGATCTCGTCATGAGCCTGACGAAAGGTTCTCAAGCTGTTGGGGATGATGATGATGATGATGATGATGATGATGATGATGATGATGATGATGATGAATTGATGACGTTGAAAACATAAGAACTTGTTGGGGATGAGATATTTTGCTGGGATGTAATCAGATGTGTATTTGGGGGATTTGTAGATAAATTTGATTGAGCAAGTGGTCTTGGTGGGGATTTTGTGTTGTTGTTGATGTATGGGATATTGGGAGTGAAAGGAGGTGGTAATGTTGGTGTGTGTGTGTGGTTGAATGTTGGCAGGTGTTTGTTGTGGTTTTGGTGAGGTGGTGAGGAGGAATGAGTTCAATGAGCAGGAGCAGGAGTCCAAGCCGTGACAGGAGCCGTAGTAGGAGCCCTAGAGACAGGAGGATGAGATCTGAACGTTCTTCTTACCGTGATGCTCCTTACCGAAGAGGGGACCGTGAGCCTCGTCGTGCTGCTTTCAGGTCCTTTTCGGCATAACCATAAACAACATCCTCAAAAAAAGATCCTTATTCGTTTCTCTTATCCTTGTTATCAAGATGATGAGATTAGGATAGGATCATTGGTATTTGTCTTTCCATGTTTTGTCTACACTTGTTTCTTTGATTGAATTGATAGTGTTAGGTTTGTTTTAAGTTCAACTGTTTGCTTTGCATACATACTTTTGTGATGAAGTTATGTTTGTAACTACTGCGTTTCATTATTTGATTTTGATTGTGATCGTTTTGAGTTCAGCCAGACGAATCTCTGCAACAACTGCAAGCGACCTGGTCACTTTGCAAGAGACTGTCCTAATGTTTCCGTCTGTAACAACTGTGGCCTTCCAGGGTACATACATCTCCTTCTCCTCCCTAACTTTATTACTGTTTTCCCAGCGTTTCAGTTATGGTTCTTAACAATATTATATGCAGGCACATTGCAGCGGAATGCACTGCAGAGTCACGGTGCTGGAACTGCAGAGAACCAGGCCACGTAGCTGGCAACTGTTCAAACGAAGGAATCTGCCATTCCTGTGGCAAAACTGGACACCGAGCGAGAGACTGCTCGAACCCGGTTTCTCGTGCAGCAGACATAAGGCTCTGCAACAACTGCTTCAAACCAGGGCATCTCGCCGCCGACTGCACAAACGACAAGGCGTGCAAGAACTGCAGAACTTCAGGTCACTTAGCTCGTGATTGCCAGAACGATCCCGTCTGCAACATATGCAGCATCTCCGGACATGTTGCCAGAAATTGTCCCAAAGGGGACAGCAATTACTCTGACAGGGACAGAGACAGAGGAAGCAGGGTTCGAGGCGGTGGGATGCAGAGAGATGGTTTTGGCAGGATGGGTAGAGATGGTTTGAGCCGAGTGGGCAGAGACAGTGGCGGCGTTGGGTCAATGATAATATGTCACAACTGTGGTGGACGAGGACATATGGCTTATGAGTGCCCATCTGCTCGAATTGCTGACCGTGGATCCCGCCGTTACTGAAGTTCCAATTGTATTCATTGTTCTTAGCTTTATGTTTGGTAATTCTATAGTTTTGGTCTCTCGTTTTAGTTGCTACTCTTTTTTTTCTTGTTTTTAGCACTGCGTTTTAGTTGCTACTTTGTTGTTGTTTTTGTGTGCTTTTGAGTATTGGAGTGAGTTGAGTCTTTTTCGGGTGAAATTTGAGTCATTTGCTTGTGTTGTATGACTTTGAATATCGATGTTCTGAGTTTCAAGGATCCAATTTAATTTATTTGAGAACATTTGCTTATTAATCTTGAGTAAATGAAAGATTTAAAGTGTGAGGATGATAATCTTGCTTATGCATATGAATGTCTTTTGTAAGCAAACAATTTATTATCAAACTCCATTTAGTAGCCGATCAGATATCGAAATAAACTGTCAAGAGTTCGTTGTATAATACATTACCTAAACTCGAAAAAATAAAAAGTATTTTAGACAACTAATGGTGGGAGCGAAATGGTGGTCCGTGGTCCAGTCAGTTATAAGTAGATGAAAATGAAATTTGCATAACGTAAAAGTGAAGTATAAACAACCGTACCAAATACTCCATAAATACCAACTTGCAACAATTATTTGATCTGTAATTTTATTAGAAAACTAAAAAAAATGGCATGCGAAGTTCATAATAGTAATAGTTAAACATGTAGAGAAGAAGGATTGTGTTACACTCTTTTGATTCATTGTTTCTGTACGCATAAACTGGTAAAAAAAGGTTAACATGCGTTAGTGGCATCATTGCTGTCACTTTCTTTTGTAAGTTTGACAAAGAAAGGAGAAGGAGAAAGATGTTCATTGAGAGAGAAGTCTCGCAGTGTTGATTGGTGGCGACTACCACTAGTAGTGTTAGCTAAGGGATCTCTCTCTTTTGTTTAGTTTATAATCACTTGATGATTAGATAGTTAACCACTAACGCTTATACTACTACTAATAATATTTAAAGCTTGATATACCTAATGGGTTTCAATAATAAATATGTAAAGAAATGATGGACTAACTATGTAGTCTGTAACTGTATGAGTATTAGCACCAGTGACAACTAACAAACTCCAATCTTATAATACAAGGATAATTAAATAAATTAGTAATTTGAATCTCGCTTTATAAGAAATGCTTTCTGTTGTACAAAATTAAGCTAACTAATTATGTCAATATCCGTTCTCAAAAACACAAAAGAAGTTGACAAAAAAAAAACATAATTATGACATTTTTTATATTCTTGGTAGGACCAAACCTAACTATCAATGAGAATTTTCGATTTATTTAAGGGGACAAGAAAATGGACTATATAAAGAGAGGACCAAAGCAAAGAAGCTATCGTATCAAATCAAAGACAACAAGTCTACTTACAAACTTTGTCGAGAAAATGATGACAATTTCATCATTGGTAATCATCTTTCTTCTTGTACTGATCTTGCAAACTAACATACTAGAGAGTGCGCATGTCCGTTCCAATGATCAAGATACAGTCAAGAACAACACTGATAATAACAACACAACCACTGGAGTAGTTATCAAGGACAAGAAAAGAAGTTATAGTGGAGGAAGTGGAAGCTTTAGATGGGGATGGGGTGGTGGCGGTGGTGGAGGAGGAGGAGGAGGCGGTGGCGGAGGAGGAGGAAGAGGATGGGGATGGGGAGGAGGAGGTGGTGGTGGAGGATGGTACAAATGGGGTTGTGGTGGAGAAGGAAGAAGAAGAAAAGGAAGAGAAGGAAGAGGAGAGTTTGTGAAAAGAGAATATGCAGAGTGCAGAGGAAATGGGAAGTGTAATGGAAAGAGATTAAAATGTCCTCAACATTGTGGAGGTTTTTGTTTCTACGATTGTCTCTTTCTCTGCAAACCACATTGCCGTCGCTAGTGAGGTATATCCATGCATACTTTTGGGGTTTTACAATATTTTTTTTGGTCTATATGTTTGTTTCCTTTGCGTGCCTTTTTTTATCTTTGGGTTTCTTTTTCTTTTTTACAAATCTTTTGGAGCTTCTTGAGGGTTGAAAACGAAAAAATAGCCATTACACTAGGATCTTGTTTTATCTAAGGTTTTTTCTTTGTTTGCTTTCTGTAATGAACTTAAAAAGTTGATAAAGGAACACACAAGTGAGACTTTTCTTTTGCCAACGCAATGTCAAGCCTTTTTTTTGCTCTTTCTATAATGAACATCTTTTGAAAAACAAATCTTCAGCTTGTACTAGTGTTTCTCAACGACAATAATTGACATAAGAACAGCTATAATTAATTTGCTTACAATAGAGATATGAATTTAATTTGTATTTTTTAATAACCAAGAATTTCAAACTGAAGTTCATACAACTCTAAGTTGTTATGTCCAAAAAAACTCTAAGTAGTGATCAAAAAAGAAAATATGGCAAACAGAAAACAACGTCTATATCTTGTAAAGCACCACAATGACCAAGCAAACAGAAATCAACATCTCTTGGTTAATTCTAACGAAGTATATCTCATTGTTTTTTTAAAACATGTCGATACATCCTGATAACTGGACCACAATGGTCATATGAAAATATCTCTTTATATAAAGTAAATCTGTCTCGGGAGCAAGAAAACTTTAACCATTCATCTTGTGTTACTACATTAGCGTTTTAATGAAGGAATTTCAAGAATTAATTGGAAAAGGTGAGATACAGCAATCGTATTACCTTGTATTTATTTCTCGATACAATTTGACATTCACTATAAGAATATTTGAAAAACCTGAAAGGAGCTATTTACAGACATTAACCACTCTTTCACTCTCAAAGACTTCCCCTATCTCGTGGGCCGTGGCCACATACGATTGTAGTCTCCCTTCGCAGGCCACACTTGAGCAATTTCAAGAGCTCCTCATATTAGTAAAACCCTAAAAGGCAAATCAACTTCTACGTTCCAACCGTGAAATTGAGCATGATGGTTATTGATTTGGACGTGTTCATGATTTGTTTCATTCCAACTCAACTCATTTCATGATACTTTCTTACTTCTTCTTTTTTCCTTTTTAGTTTTGTAATGAAAACGAGTTTTAATTAGACCCAAAACAAAAAACGAGTTAATGACGTGTCGGTACTTTACTTGAATAGATTTGGCAGCCATAATGAAGTGTCTATATAGTTATCAGAGATTTGGAGGCATATTCAATCAGAAACAAAAATATGCCGATGGTGATGGGCACGTTATGGTGACTTTGTCTCTATTATATGCTCATTTATTATCTTTATTTCCCAGTAAATATTAAATAAATATCAACCAAATCCAAGAACAATCCCTTCCCCATATGGGAACTGGGAGGCACAATATGAAAATGACTCTTCGTCACATGCAAAAATACACCACTAGATTTCATACTTAAAACTCACTTTAAGCTTTGACTTACAATAATGTTGATGACAATCGAAAATAATTACTAATATCTTTCTATGAAATGAAGTCTTGCTTCCACAAAAAACGTAGAAATTTTGCTTAGTCATGGGGATTTATTACACAAAAACTTGCAATACAGGATAAAGGAAGCGTTTGCATGAACCAAAAGAGAATATATTGTTTACATTATTACCAAGATTAAAACCGCAACCTCAATCACACTCAAAATTTACAAAAAGACAGAACCAAGAAAATTAAACCTAGTTCTTCTACAAAGATCCAAGTTCAGAGAAATCAAGAAGATCAAAAGGCCAACAAACAAACAAAACAGAAACACCATCTAGATTACCAGAAGGATCTGGACTTTTTATTAGAAGCAAGAGGAGGAGGATGAGTAAAAGTAGTAGTGGTCATCTGTGGGACAGTGAAGCCACCATCATCATACCATCTCTTGTTCTGTCCTTGTTGTTTCATGTTTTGTATTGGAGCATAAGTCTGTACTTCTGGTGTTGTTTCTTTGTTGTTGTACATCCCAAACTGAATATTGTTGTCCTGAGAAAAGTACTGGTTTGTGTATGAGGAAGGAAGAGTTTGTGGAATCTGAGGGACCCAAATCCCCATATTCTTAGATGGAATTGACACTGTATTGTTGTTGTTTCTCTTAGTGCTGTCATCTTCTGCTTCCATATATGGTAACACTCCATCATCATCACCACTCTGTAATCACAAAAGCAAACCCACCAGAAAAGGAAAATAAAAAATCATCTCAAAAGTAGAAAATATTTATCCACATCTATAAAGTTTGTTACTATTTATATCTCAATATTAGATCTGATATAATATGATATCACATAAACAAAGGAAATGAAGTTACTACTAATAAATATTCAAATCTTGACTAATCAAACTTGATTTTTCTTGAATAGAGAGAAGAAGAATAACACACCTTAGAGAAACCAAAAGGAGGAAGTGAGGAATCAAGAAAATCCTCAACGTGCCAACCAGGTAACGTATCGATCAAATACTCTGAAATCGTGCTTGTAGATCCCCACTGATTCATCCCTACATCGCTACTGATCTTGGAGGGTTGGATCTTGGAGTTCTTGATCTGACTCTGAGGAGCTGAGATAGGTTTCTTGATAGGAGCAGGGACAGAACAATCTTGACTACTTGAAGAAGATTCTGAAGTTGGTTTGTAAACAGAGGAGGTTGGAGATAACTTAACCCCCGTAAGAAGAAACCTATCGTGTTTCTTGGTGTGTTCGTTCGCTGAGTGGATCGATGAATCACAGTCTTTGCATAAAATAGCCCTATCTTGTTGACAAAACAAGAGAGCTTTCTTTTCCTAAAGTTCACCAAAAAAAAAAACTCATCAGACAAAACCAAAACCCATGTCCTAAAATCTTTGGAAAGAAACTGAAAGAGACCTGACAGATGTCGCAGATGGGAGATGAGTTCTTGGAGGAAGAGGGATAGAGGAGAGAGAAACGGAGATGTTTTGAGGCGAGTTTGTTAGCGTGGTGGACTTGGTGATCGCAGCCGTCGCATAGAGACGCTTCGTCGGCGGTGCAGAACACCGAGGCTTCTTCTTTATCGCAAACGTCGCACCTGATCTTCATCAGTAGAGAGATTAAAGCGAGAGGTTGCTGAAAATGATAGGAGAGAAGATGTGAGACTTTGTTATGAGTTCTGTAATAAGAAGGAAAAAGAATAGTATGGAGAAATAATATAAGAGGGTTGCTTATGTAATATCATCATCATCTATCTTCTTTTTTCAATCATATCTCTTTTTTTCTTTTTACTACAGAAAAGTAGTTCTTGTTTTATATGAGTCCATGAGGTAACCTTCTAAAATGAAAAAAAAAACAAAAATCTATGTTAATATAGTTATTACTTTGTTACATCAGATTTCATTTCCATTTTCCAGTCACCTTTTAAGAAAAATATAGGCGGTGATAATATGAGAGATTGATCGAGTTTAGGTGCCCATGTTACTTCTTCTGCCCATCCAAAACTACAAACTTCGAGAAGAAACAAAACTATATACTTAAATGAAGTAATGGCGAATGACATATTCACAAAATTAATATAAGAATTTTACATATGACAAAGTTATAATTTATTTAGTAAAATAACAAATCATTATCTTTTATATTCTAATTATTATGACCAATTACCACATTTTCCATTAAATTATTTTTAACCTTTTTACATTTCCAACCAAGCAAACTTTATGGATGCAGAACTAATGAAACAAAACTGATGAACTGATGAAGACACTCACTCCTAAACCTTCAGATTAAATCGATGGCTGACATCGTATGCAACCATAAACTTTATTAGTAATTAGACTGGCCAGGTATAACGCATTGAGAACATTATTACAAACCAACTTACCTGGTGGTACATTGATAATATTAACACAAATCGTTAAACTACATATTACATTCATAAACAAAAGATAAATATATTAGAAGCATAACATTACGAGACCTAAGAGACATAAATCTCCAATTTGAAATTTGAAATTGATTGATCAAAACTAATTCTAAATAAGGATCAAACATTTTGCAGGCATGTATGAAAATTTTAATAGTTTATAAAACTTTTAACTAAAAATCTCGTTGATAGTGGATGAATTGATTGTTTTTCTAGAGATGTGAAACTCCTAACAGTTTTTTTTTTGTATGTGTTCAAACCCGCCCAGCAGTTTTATAATCATGTGCATACAACATTTTTTTTTGTCAACCACATACAATATAATTAATCAAACAACAAAATACATGCGACCAGGCTTCGTAGCCTGGTGGTAAAGGAACCTCGGCTGAGGTGCTCGCCATCCGACTTCGAAACCCGACCACCACATAATTTACATGCGGAGTTGGTGTGGCGCTCCAGACCACTTAGCATAACCAAGAGCCTTTAAGTGGACGCTTAAAAATCCTATCATGGCATGAGCTTAGGCCCGGTGGGCTAGTCGATCATGCTTTGTGGTCGGATACTGGATTATCAAAAAGAAAAAACAACAAAATACATTTTTAAATGTACATATATTAAAACACTGCATGTGCATTGTTCATAACATCTAATAAATTTATATGGAAGATAATACTATGCTGTTTTCCAGGAAGTGTCCCCTAAATGCATCAAATTCAACCAATATTTAATGGAGAATATACTAAGCTCTTTTTGTTTTAGCGGACTGGTCGACTCTGGTTGTTCTCGCCGGATGGCATTTTGGTTATTTTAATTCTATTTATATATAGTAAAGCTCATGCAGTCATGCACTAGGTCCAAACAGAGGATGAAAATCAAACGTAGTTACTATTTCAGCTATATGTTAAAGGGTTGCCTATATATCCATAAGTTTATATATCAATCACCTTGTTACCAAAGTGTTTGCATTGTTTTTGTTATCTTTGTTCTGGCAGATTATAGTTGAAGCCATCGAAGAATTTTGGTTTAGGACCTTGCGACCAAGTGATAAAGAAATGGATTAAGATGCTGACACGTTTTAGATTCGATATACCTATTACACGGAACTAAATCATATTATTCATAAACATTTATAAAAACATATATATGTGGTGAAAGAATCTATCCGTAAATTACATTTTTTCTTGAAGATTAGTATAAGTCTCTCTAAAGAATATCAAAAAAAGAATATCAAAATATGTTTCAGCTTTTTAATGGAAAATTCAGATTTCACATTTTTGTCATCTTTAATTTTTTATTTTATTTTATAAAATCTCATCTGATCATTAAAATAAATAAATTGGCTAGCCAGATTTACAATTAATAAAATTGATAGGAATAATTCTTATTGTGAGCCTTTTCTCAAAAAAAAAAATTTCATAGTGTGAAAAATAATATATGAAACGTAACTTGTAACTGGAGACAGAACTCTATAGGGCTGGACGTATATTAAATACTCTGTATAGATGCTAAGGATAAGTTTCAAAATGTTGACCCGCGATCAAGTAGTAACTAAAGATTATAACGAATTTTTTAATCATCAGGAGTGTAATCTAGTAGCACCATATCTTGTACATTACTAAATCCTAAACCTGATAAAGTAGCGTATAAAAGATTCGACAAATAACTAAAGGCGTATGCTTAAACAAACTTTAAACCCATACAGAACACTGGCAAGTATCATAATAGTAATTGGTTTTTACTTGGTGGAAAGTATAGTTATAGTTATTACAAAATCTTTTTAAGTTACAATTTCAAGAATACATGTATCTAGCTCATACTATTTTGTTATGACTATGAGACATACCTTTCAAGCATAGATAAAGAAACATACCGTTTAGAACATCCCGATTTTGTACAATAATTTTATATATATGGGACATTATAAAAAAAGATTATAAAAAATAATGACATAAATTTGTAGTCTAAAATAAAGTATTACAAATATTTTTTTTTTTAAGTTAGACCGGCCCTGCCTTCAGCCTTAAGACTCTTCACTGTGAGTCTGCGACTACCTTTCTTACGATCTCTCGTTTTTTTTGTGGTTTCATAACGACCAGTAGTTGTAAGAAATAAATATAAACCACTAGCATAAATAAATATAAACGACTAGCATAATCGATGTTATCTGATAGAGAGCACTTAATACAGAGTCTCATCTGACCAGCCTCTGAACCAAAGCTTACTTTAGATTAGTTATAACTTTGAGAATGCGAGCTAGGGACAAAATGGACCCCACGCCACGCTCATAGTGTCATGTTCTATATCGAGCAACTAGCTAGTGGATAATCATGGCGAAAAAATCTTAAATATGCCTACTTGGTTAACTAATTCCTTGTATCATGATTACATTATCTCAAGCTAATACAAAATGATTTAGACGGGAAACTAATATAGTGAAAACATTTAAATATCATAAGATAACGGCAAACAAAAATTAGGTAAAAATAGATTTTTTTTTAATTATGTTTAGGAGCCTGGATGATGTTAATAAATCATAAGAGCTCGCTGAAAGTAGGGTAGTTCATGATGTCAATTATTCATCATTGATTTTTATTTTGTCGTTTTGAAAAGTTGTTTGTTATTACAAACATAAAACTTTGACGTTAGTCCCAAATGAAGGTGGACCGTGGGCGAAGGGGTGGGAAAGAAGAGAGACCGCACGTGGCTAGTTGGGCCGTCGTGTCTCTCGTACGTTGTTCGAAACTCTAAACTTTGATTTCGACTCGGTCACCACCTCATCTTCTCACTTCATTTTCTGATTCAAATTAATCTACACGATCCTTTTTTATTGTTTTCGACTAAAGAAATAAGCATCTCTCTATAGCCACGCGTACGATCGTAAGTTTCATAACTATGTCATCAAAATCACTAGGCCGATCCTCTTTTATTTATGTTCATTGACACTTATATACACCACTGGTAATATATAAAAATTCGGAATAAAAGAAGGAATTAGTTGGATCTGTATGGGCGGGCAGAAGGTGGGAGGCCAATATCGAAACCTATCGAATCTTAACAGCGACTCAATATGTTTTTTTAATCGAATTTATGATTTTATTGGTCCAGTATGGGGGTTTTCATTAATTTAAAGTATACGAATACGCCCCACATTATTTAATATACTATATACTAGATGATAACCCGCGCGCATGCGCAGAGTGAAATTTTAATACTAATATTTATTCATTAAATGACATTTTACAACACTATAGTATTTATCGATTATAAAATGATGAATACAAATTTTGGTATCTTAAATCAGCATAGGTCTGACGTTTGAGACTTCGTCGGTTTTGGTTTGATTGAGACGTATTATCAGATTTTGGTATTATTCTCATAAATCCTATTTGAATTTTATTAATTATTGGATTGGATTCGATTTGGTCTTCTCAATTCAGTTTGGATTGGATTGTAACCAATATCTGAAATCATCCCATAAAATATTTTTTAAACATTAAAAGTTGACAAAAAATTCAAAATATTTAAATTATTAATAAATCTGATTTAAAATTAGTTAAATTATCTAAACAAACTTAAAGATATTAAAAAAAGCAAATAAAACAAACTACAAAAATCTAACCTCAAACCTTTTCACTGAAATTGTTAAATTAACATATTTATAATATGAATATCTACTAATGATACTTCATATTCGTACGATTTATGATAATTTGTATCTTGTTTGAAAAAAAAAAACAAAGTTAACCATTGATCATAAAATTTTCAATGTGGGATTTTACTATTTTAGTTATTTATGGTCGTTTTAAGAAATTAAAAATATAATCTATAAGAAAAAAATTAATTTTTTATTATATATTTAATGTGATTGTTTAATTTATTTTAATAATTTAAAATTAAACAAAAAAAGAGAGAGGACACAAAAATATGTATTATTCATAATCATTAATTACATATATATGTTAATCATATTAGGTAATTCCGTAGCTTTTATTTAAGGAAAGAAAAATTATTGTTTTATACCTAGCAGAGTTGGTCCCTTAAAAAATGTATATATATTATAGTCTTAAATGCAAGAAATTAAATGTTACATAATTTTATTCCTAACAAAATTGGTTCATTAAAAAAATTAAGGCTGAGAAGCTCTGTGAGCTTGACACGTAAGCATACTCTCCAAGGTTATGTATTTATGAATGTTTCTTGATTAATATATAGGGATACTAACTACACTGCCCATTATTTGGTATCAATACATTCATAGATGATAGATCCTTATCGAATTGATTCGAATTTGGTTCTTCTCACCTTTTCTTTCACTGTTTATTCACTATCTCACGAT